CAAGCAGCAACTCCGTATCCCTCACGTGGACGCGAAAAGGATTGAGATAGTGAATACTCAACAGTTGTCAAGTCAATAAATCCAATTTTATAAGGGACTACGAACAGAAAACGTTACGATACGGCTCATCTAGCTCCTGGCTGCTGCCGTAGGCCATGGATCATGGTTCACGTTCTTGGTTGTGACCACTTTTGCCTTACTTCGTCTACCTTACTTACTTGTACACCACAACACAAGGATCTCGTCCTCTTCCGATCTTCCCAAGTCAGTGCAAGGATAGTCTAGAGGGCAGCTCACCACTTGCCTGCCCCCACGCACCAAAACCGACTTGATATTCAGATGGGATGGGCTACTTGGAGAGAGTGCCCCAGGGGCCTGAACCTATCAGAATATCCGTTTGTCGTTGACTCCTACATCACGAGCCGATCTCAGGATGATTGTGACGCACTCATATCGAAGAAATATCAGATTTTTAATAGCAACGTAGTGAGAGCATGGTTGTCATGCGGCAGCGTTACATGGCACATTTCCCGATGCTCTGTGCTCAAGGGGGCCACAACCCAGACGTGTTCAAACATGGAGGACAGCCGATTCCTTCCAGCTTTGGCCATATGCTTCCTGCAGTCGCTGTCGTAGAACAACCTCGGCCACAATCATAGATGCCATCTGCACTTCACGGGCTCTGCCGTACCTGAACAGAAGCAATGTGTGTTTGTGTGCATCGGACATTGGGCCAAGATCTGCAACTAAGCAGCCCTCAGGAGCCTTTCCTGACGTGAATCTGTCCATCTCCCGTGGATAACGTTGATCAATGTTTTGCTCATGAAGCTCTACTGTACACACAGGCAAATGGCAATGTTCAGAGTGTCTCTAACAAACGATGAGCTGCCAGCAGGTTTTTTGAAGTCAAGCCACTGGCAGAGAGAGGAAGAGAGGGAGACATCAAAGCCACCTCAGTGTCCCGAAGAGAGCAGTCAGGGTACCCCACCTGTGCGTGTCCATCAACGTTTCTGCCCCTGCTGCCGTCATAGCCAACTCGGCCAACTGGACTACAGGCTGCAGGCATTACAAATGTACTAAATCGGGTCCGTACAGTATAAAGGCTACTACTGATATTATAAGAGGCTAATTAGAGATTATACCCATCTTTTGAGATATTTTGATTTATTATAGAGGGTCTTTAATCAGGTATTTTCTAATATACTGTACTTACTACTAGGCTATAGATCCCTCCTATTAGAGGTACCGGTTCGTAGTGATCTACAATACGCGATACATTTGTAATGCCTGCAGCCTGTAGTCCCCCAAGTTGGCCATGGCCGGACCTGGTCTCAGACGGCAAAACCCTGCCTGCAGGGCTGGGCTCGATCGAGGGACGTGCCCTTCCCGTTCGGCTTAAAGATAGCGATACTTGGAGCAGTTGAAGTTACTCTTTAAAAGGTAAGATCAGGAAGAGAGTTAATAACATGGGGTTACCCTTATCGTGCCCTCCATTGTCTGGCCTGGACTCACCTCCAACCTTTCTCAATTCCCTCGCAAACCTCTTCGCCTTCAAATCTTGCCTGCACTCTAAGATCAAATCAAAGTTTACCAGGTTTTCGGACACTGGCCGCTCCTTCGTCTCTTATTCCTCTCCAGCTTATTAGCCCAAACCTTGCAACAACGCTGAGACCAAATATCTTCATGATCGAGCCAGTCACTCGATTTCTACATTGCGCCGACTTGTCGCAAGCTACAAGCAGCTTGACTCTGCCAACCGTAGAACATTTGCATTGCGCTCCATCTACACCTTGACCCAATCCCGTTGCACAAGAGCCCCAGACCTCTCCAATGCTAGCCGTTCATCATGAACGCGCAGGTATCATTTCTTGTAAGTGTTACGCCTCCCCGCAGAAGAATTGACCCTCTTGTGTATCAGCAGCCGTTGGAAGTAACTTTCCAAAGAACTACTTCGATCCTGACATTTTATCTCCAGGATGGCACATATACGCTGATTCACATTCCTCTCAGCCTTTACTCGACCCTGCTCCAGCCAATTCTCCGAGTACTTCTGCCGCAATCTCAGGGAACGGGTGGCCTGCGTGATTCGCCCGAGTACGAGTTGCAGGGACTCACGCCTGATGGCCAGCATGGCTTTCTGAATATTAGCATCACTCCTCTTGAGTGTTCGGTTGTCTGTCACACCTCATGGGCTCAGAATGTCTTCGAGCCAGTCCTTAAAGCTATGCCGCGCGACACTGCGAAAACTGTTTCCGTTTCCAAAGAATCCTATATGGTGCTTTCAGTCATAAGCGCTGGGCTCGATGCAGGCGGTCGTGTGATGGAATTGACCTCTCCGCTGGCCCTCGCTGGTATCCCCATCTTCTTCATCACGACCTATTATTCAGACTTTATCCTAGTCCCTACAAAAGAGCGGGAAAACGTTGTCAAGTCTCTCATCGCAAAAGGTTTCGAGCTGTCCGATAACGAGTCCAACTTCATCACTTCCGCTGCAAATCACAAGCAGGGCGCTGGATTGTCTGCAACTTCTCCGCCACATGAAGGTCTCCCTCTCAATGTCGCTGAGTTGCAAACACGGATTTTTGGTACACTTAAGAAGAGGCATGTGGCACCCCAGATTGAGGAAACGCTTGAATTAGTGCAATGTTCCGGCCGCGAAGCATCGCAGCTTGCAAACTTCACCCATCAAAGGCCTTCAATTAGCCGCCACGCAACAGGAAACGGCCGCCGACCAAGCTGGGCAGACAATGTGGACACAAAACTCTATACATGCATCATCTCAGCGCTCGTCTCGCAGCCTCGATTTATGTCCGTCACTCTTGCTCAGGATGACCCGCCGTCCCTGTTGCTCGACAAGAATCTTCTCTACATATTTGGCGACTCCCTTGTCGGGGACACAGATGCTAGCCTGATACCGATCTTCCTGGACCTGAAAACTCTTCCTCTGGAGGCCACGGGTATTGTTTGCGGTGTCGCTGGTATACTCGTACAAGACACTCAGATAGCGGCGAGTTCTGAATTATCTTATCTCTCGACTGCTCAGGCAGGTGCTGTGATTCTTTCTGAAGAGCAGTCCGTACGGGCCATGGGTATATTGAAGCCATTGCTCAGTGAAGAGCTGTAATGCTTTGAGCTTGATCAATACGTGCGATAGAAGATGAGACCGTCACAATGATGTAAAATTATGGAAAGCTCACAATCTATGAGCAGGTGGCAATGGCGCAACGGAGATGGCGTTTGTTTTCTAGGCAGCCGGGATGTTGGATTTGTGTAAAACCATTATTCGACTTGAGAATTTTAGTATTTTGTCAGAGGAACAGAGATCCTGGAGATGCGCCTGGCTTCCATATTGATGTCATGTTATAGTACTACGTAAAACACTTCTTTGCTGATCTCATAAATCCGTCGGGGCCTCCCATGCCGCGCTGCATGGCCCTCAATTGTTTTTGAAATATTGGAAGCAATCGAAGTCAGAGAATTCGTAAGGCATTTTGGGGGTTGAACTCCTGGCAACAATGACGCTCGGCGGTTGTCAAGTCTATCGACAAAATACCGTCTTATAAAGTACCTATCTTTGGCCAGTATATCGTTTTCCGTGACCTTAAACATCTTTCTAGGATTATCTTTATCAATAATTGCCAACCCCGTGTCTCAAGAATCAAACGGTAAGCTGACTTGAAGGAAAGGGATCACGATATCAGGACCTCAATTCTTACTTCCCCTTTTTCTTCTCCTGCTTCTCTTCCTTTACCAACCCGGACTTTACAAACCCATCTCTAGCTACGGCATTAATGAGCGCAAACCTTTTAGGTCCTAGCTGAACACCGCCGTACCACCTCGTCACCACCACCATGGCATCCCAGATATCCATGACCTGCATCAGATGCAATATCCTTCCACCGGCAGCTGTCTCGCCGTCATCATCACAGTCCTGGAAACTCGTAGCCCCAGGTCCACGAATCCGCCATGCTGTCATGTTGTGCGTGGCGCTGCGTATGCGTCTGTCTGATGAGAGCAAAAGTTGGACGTAATATCGAGCCTGATCAGGTGAAGTTACTCGTGCGACATGTGCTAAGAATGTTGATTTTGACTCTGTCACAAGATCGGATAGGACCCATTCCGGAGGAGGAAAGTCTGGTTGCTCGTAGTCTTGTTCAGGTGTCGATGGAGCTGGGGCCTCACTTTCAGGCTCTGGTTTCTGCTCCTCAGCACGCCGCGTGAACTCCTCCACGGCATCGAATAGACAGACCAGGCCCTCTTGAAACACTTCGCCCAGAGCGTCTCGGAAGAGTGCCAGGTCACGAGCACCAGCGCCTTTGACACCACCGGAACTATGGTGTGTACTGAGGGCACTGGGGGGCTTAGAGGGGTAATCGGACGGGAATTTGAGACGCAGAGAGGATGCATCGCCCGGCAGTTTGAGAATAAATACAGAGGAGTCGTCTTCTGTCGGGGTGAGGCTGCCGTCGCCGTAGATGGAATTAATTGCTTCGACTTCATCCTGAAGTTCTTCGGACATCGTCCGAGCAGTGAGGGGTTGAATGAAAGGAGATTGAGGGTCTTGAGGTTTCAGTTTGTTAAAAGCACCTTAAACCTTGTGATAGATTTCAAGAAAGAGTACATTTGAGATTGCTCTGAGAACTCACGTTAGTTCCGTTGCAGGTCTAACAATATTCCAATGTTTCTTACAGTTGACACTGGATGCACCTTTTAACCTGCAGAACCCCACATTAGTCCATCCATTTCACCTCATTGATCCACTAAATCCCCATTCCTCTCTTACGTAGGTAGGTTGTATGCCTTCAACAAACCATGTCGTGATAAATGGACAAGATACATGGAATGGCCATGTACTTAGAACAAATTGATATTGAGCGAGTACACTAGACTATGGGGCGGCGCAAACAGTAATCGAATACCGGCCATCTGACCTATCACCCAGCATGACCTATCTATAGCTTCAACACAGAAACAACCAGTAATGCAACATTAGTATCACATTACTCGTCCATAACAGCCGCAAACTTGTCTGTCATCTTCTGTTGAATCTCCTCGTACTAGAATTGAGTTAGCACATGCATTGTGTTTGCTACCAAAGAACAACTTACTCTCTTGGAGATCACATCCTGGCCGTCGGTGGGAACCTCGAACTTCAGCTGTCGTAGGTTGGCTTGCAGGTCAGAAGTAGCCTCTCGTACCTTGGCCCAGCTCTGGCCCTGCGCGATGACCTTCTGGGCTTCGTCGTGGAAGCCCACCATGAGCTTCATCATCCACTCTGTCTTCCAGATAGGACAAAACTGGTCATAGTCCGAGTAACCGTTTTGCTGCAAGAAATCTTCCTTGATCAGGCCCGCAATATCCAACGTAATCTTGTCAGGATCAGACAGGGCACTCTTTCCAACAAGCTGAACAACCTGGTCGAGCTCCTCGGAATCAGAAAGAAGTTGCTTGATGCGGTCGCGGAGTCGAGGGAAGTCGGGGTAATTCTTCTCGTAATACTTATCCAAAATGGTGTTATACTTGCTGTAAGATAACGATGTGTTGATGGAAGGGAAATGTTTTCGCTGCGCAAGCTTCTTGTCGAGACCCCAGAAGACCTGCACAATACCCAGAGTGGATGTAGTAACGGGATCCGAGAAATCACCACCAGGAGGACTGACGGCACCGACAATACTGACACTACCCTCGCGTTCGGGAGAACCAAGAGTCTGAACGCGACCTGCTCGCTCGTAGAACGAGGCAAGCTTGGCACCCAGGTAGGCGGGGAAACCCTGATCAGCAGGCATTTCTCCTAGACGACCAGAAAGTTCTCGAAGAGCCTCAGCCCATCGGGAAGAGGAGTCAGCCATCATGGCCACGTTAAGACCCTGGTCGCGGAAATATTCGGCAACAGTAATTCCAGTGTAAATGGAGGCTTCTCGGGCAGCGACGGGCATGTTCGAGGTGTTGGCAATGAGCGTAGTTCGCTTCATGATAGGCTCCTTACGGCCATCGACCTCAATGGTAAGCTCGGGGAAATCTTTTAAGACTTCGGCCATCTCATTGCCTCGCTCACCACAGCCGACATAGACGATAACGTCACTGTTTGAGAATTTCGACACAGACTGACTAATGACGGTCTTTCCGCAGCCGAAAGCACCAGGAATTGCGACGGTACCACCTTGAACACTAGGGAAAAGAGCGTCGAGAACTCGCTGACCGACAATGAAGGGCTGATCGGCGGACTTCTTGTCGTTGGAGGGACGTGGCACTCGGACAGGCCAGGACTGCATCATGGGGTACTCTGTCTTCTTGCCATCGAACTCGACCTCGAGGATGTTCTCGACGACGGTGTATTCGCCCTTGGCAGCGATTTTGGTAACGGTTCCTCGTGCACGAGGAGGGAACAGAATCTTGTGGTCTGCGAGAAAAGAGTTCTCGAAGACAGAGCCCCAGACATCGCCACCGGAAAGGTGGTCGCCGACCTTAACGGAGGGTGTGAACTCCCACTTCTTCTCGCGGTCGAGGGCGGGGACGGCGATACCGCGGGGGATATAAATGGACTTGGCCATCTTGGAAATAGCCTCGAGGGGACGCTGAATACCGTCGTAGATGCCATTGAGGAGACCGGGACCGAGTTCAACTGACAAGGGCTTTCCGGTACGGGTAACAGGGTCACCCACCATGACGCCGGCTGCGATGACGATTAGCTTGTTATTGTTGTAGGTTCATCGTGGGCCTTCATACATGTCTCCTCGTAAACCTGAATAGAGGCCTGGTCGCCACTGATTCGAATAACTTCACCAACGAGATTGTCATGTCCTACTCTGACCTACAATAGCGGTGGGTTAGATCGTGGTGGATGATGACGATGGAGGATGATAGCAACTGACCAACTCGTACATGGCAACACCAATCATGTCCTCAGCCACAACGACGGGACTGTATAAAGTCAGCATGACATGTTGACAGTCAAAACATCGGTTCGAGTGTATTTTTGGGGACCGAGAATAGATCGCAGGCTCAAGAAAACGATAGGTACTGACCCAGAAATGGAGTAGATTTTACCTGCAGATAGTGTTAGAGACACCGCAAGGTGCTTGAACTTGGTTAAAGAACATACCGGTTTGATATCCATCTTCCTCATTGGTCTTGCTGCTGTTATTAGCAGCCTTTGATGTTTTCTACAGATGGCTGCAAGTCAGTATCGAGAACCAAGCAGCATGAAATGCGCCGCGTTGTCGCCAGCAAGCTTGGGGGAGGTCGGGAATCAACGCACCGGAGGCATCTTCAACGACGAAACTGGCGCGTTGTCTAATTGAAGATGAGGAGAGGTAGGAGAATGCGGCGACTGGGGCCGGATGGAAGATGTTGTCGAACCGGGGGAGAGGGTTGACGAAGGAGGCGGCTGGGATGAAGGTTGAGGTGTTGATGAAGGTGAATATGGAGACAGAGACGGAGATGGAGATGGTGGTGGAGAGTTTGGCAGAGGCACTTGACGAGCTATGTCCACCAACGCTAGAGCTGCTGCTGCTGCTGCTTTCCCAGCTCTTGAGTGGAGCCAGGATGATGACGATGCTTTGCGGGTGGGGTCTCGAACAGCAGCAACGTAAATGGGAGGCGCAGGGGCTCTACCACTGAAGCTCCCTCTGTAACGGCTCCCTCTGGCCCCGGGGCCTGAGCTAAGGCTATCGTCGTCACTGTCGCTCCCTTGCTCTTGCTGGCTGTTGTTGTCGTCGTCTTCGCCTCTGGTGCGGATCAGATCCAGCAGGGAACGCCTCGCTCTAAGAGTAGGACGAATGCCGAGCATAAGCTACGGTTGATGCCTTTTTCTTGCGATAAATATTTTGTGGTTTCAAGCTCGGAGAAGTGTAAGTGGGAGATCTGGAGTATGTTGTTGATTAAGGTACGGATAGATGGGAGCCAATACCTATTACGTAGCTGAGCTATAGGTTACCTAGCGCTTGGACGGAGGCTGTACTGAAACACTACCTTAGTAACTTATGCACAGCGCTACTGACCTCAGTGCCCAGTCCAAGGTTGCCGATCGACATTAACTCGAGGGTACTGCTTGATTAAACTACTAACCTAGGTATGCAAAGTCTTGGAAGCCCAAAACCTCAAACTTCCCAACTCCCCAACTTCAGTTGCTGGGAATACGAGACTTAAATTCTTTGCGCCATCACATCGGTTTACTTTGTCTTCTTATCCTTATTCTCCCTCTCCCACTGCTCTCCCAGCTCCTTCACCTCCTGGTTTGTCTTCTCTATAGACTCTCTGGCTCCAGGCCAAAGCTTACGACCCCGACCTGTTTCAAACAATCTGTAAACCGCGGGCACATCAGTCCCATCCATAAGCAAGTTGTAAAACTTTCGGTCGTTCCACCACAGCTTCCAGGCTTCCCAAGTGAAGCACCCCAAACGATCGGTGACTCCTGTGCCTGCTGCTTGGTTCAGAAACTCGTAGGTTGGCTTCGCCCTCCAACGAAATCCAGGATGAGGAGCCGGGCCTCTCTGGAGTGTCTTGACAACATAATCATAGTGATCGTCAATATCTCTACGCCTCTCTTCGGCAGACGGCATGGGGTAGTCTCCAGACCACAAGCTCGCTAGAGCCATGGTAGTGAGATCGTAAAGTACGAATGGAGGTCTCATGATAATCATATGGCCAAGAAACGCCAAAGACTCGGGAAACTGCTCCGAGACAAAGCCATGGAAAAGACGTGCAAACTTGCTTTCCTCGCCGTAGAACTTGGTCGCTTCAATCCGCCTGTGGTGGTCAGGGGCAATGGCCGGGTCGGTCGGATCACCAGGGCCCTTGACGATAGAAAAGTCATAACCATAGCCGGAGCAGAAGATGATGGCATCGACATCTTCTAAGATCGTACCGTCTGTAAGAGTAATAGTCTTGGGACCAGTTACTTCCTCGATGCCCTGTACAGATTTGACTGTACCATCTTTGAGGTTATCTGCCAGATGCTCGGAGAACAATGGAACTCGATGCAGGACTCCATCAACTGGTCGGGTACCGAATACTTCCCTCAAGTGTGGCCATTCTTTATCTCGCATATTGATCATCATCTTGGTCATGAGACCTGCAAAAAGATTTGGCATGATGTTGCCTATTGTTCTCACACAAATGGACACACGACGACTCAATGTGTGCTCGAAAGCCTTGCCCCTGACTCTCCTGGGGAGCTAGTAATGATCAGGATCTGAAGCTAAAGCTGAAGTTGGCTGGAGCTGGAGTTCTTACCACGAAGACGGTGCCACGATGGCTAAGATAGACCTTGTTGGTTCCAGCTTTGACCAAGAACGAGGTCGAATCCACACCAGTTGCGCCAATACCTACGACAACCACGTTTTTGCCCTGGTACTTCGAGGCGTCTTTGAACTGTCGCGAGTGAATGGCATCGCCAGAAAACCTCTCTAGACCTCTTACACGGGGGAGATGGCGGGTGTTGAGCATGCCTGTAGCGACAACTACACGACCGAATGTTCTGACCTCTCCAACCCCCGTTTTAACATCCTTGAGAAAGACCCTCCAGGCCTTTCGTAGCCCATCGCGTTCTATATGGTCAACTGAGACTGAGAATTGTATATGCGGATATAGGTCAAACTGTTCGGCGTAAGATTCGAAGTATCTTTCGAGATCCTTCTGAGGGGGGTGCACGGGGAAGTCTAGAAACACTATGAGCTTCACGACCATACGAGCAATGTACGGCTGGCTTACCATCAGGCATAGGGAAATCAGTAATGGAACACTGGAAGCTATTAATGTTGCGATCTGCCCCATTTGAAGAGAAAAAGAAACATACGCATTGCTTGGAGGTGTTGGCTGTCGTGTACTCCAATGCAGTTGTCTGCTCGATATTGTTTGACGCATGCCATGTTCCACCAACGTATTCTTGTCTTTCAAACGCTGTTACGCTGAGTCCCTGTTCGCGAAGGTTCTTCAGTGCTAGAAGACCAAGTGGTCCTGCTCCTACCACGCAGACGTCAGGGTTGAGTTCTTGATTCTGGGCATCCATGATTTAGTAAGAATATTATTTTGATATGGGCCTAAGAAGAACATACAAAATTGCGTGTCTCTGCTCCTATATATCCTCACATTCTATTAGTATTGGATATTAACAACAGCGTAAAGATCCGAACTGCCGCGCGAGGTAGTGATCGCGCTTAATGCTGACACTCCTGAACGGCGCCAGAATGGAAGCCGTCAGCTTTTAGATCATCACGTAGGGTTACGACGCATAAAACAGATGAGATAAGCTGATCCCAACCAGTAAAGAAATGCTATTGCCAACGGAGCTGCTTATTGTAACGAGTTGGGATGTATCCGAGAAAGTCTCCGGAGCTCCTTGGTATTCGCACCAGCAAGGGTGTGGGATTGTACTTCCACTGGTTTTATGTGTCCGGCCTATCCCTTTTTCTGGGAGACACGTCTTCTCTTCTTTGATGATATGGTGTTGAGAATGTAGCACGGAATGCGAAGGCGAAAGAGTCTGTCTGAAGATACGGAACAACCTAAGCGGTTGCAATTATATACTGAATTTGGCCAGGATCAAGATGGCATTCCTGCTGCTGTGTACCTTTATGGAACGGTTATATAGATCACTTTAAGATTAAAGATATGATTAGGGAAAAGGTTGACGCATTCTGACGGTCTTGAGAATGAGGATGCTAAGACTTGGGGGACGTTTGGGCGATACGCATAGTTGCGATTAGAAGTTATCGCGAGTAAATTTTGCATGAATATAAGTAAAATTTCGGCTAAAAGAACATGAGAAATTGGCAATAGTGATTGCCACTGTAAGATGCACGAGTGGAAACAAAATACGGATTGGTAACTGTTGCTGGATGCCAGACTAACAGCTCATCTCGATGTGGTCTGCCTGGTAACTGGACTCAACATAGAAAACCTCCATGATCTGGCGGTGATGGAGCATAAAGAGAGAAAGCTTACAGACCTTTTGGTAAAGCTATTATCAAGTGGCAATGCCAAGGGCGGTGTTCATCCACGGGCATAGACCACACGTCAGTCTAGAGATATAATTCTTTATTCTGCAACGTATCTGTAGTATCTAGGCCGCATCCTCAAGGATTGAAAGAAGGGATTTGAGTACCATTCTTGCCAAAATAGACACATTTGATCATCCATGTAACTTCACATCCAGATCTGCCAGAATCTCTTGCAGAATCTTCAAGGCCCCCTCCTTGGCCACCAAGGCCGAAAAAGTCGCTTGTAAGACCGAGATGCCACACTCATCCCTTTCTGCAACATTTTGCATCCTTGTATGGTATGGGAAACCTAGTGTTGGTACGTCACAGCCATCCTGGCTCCGTGCCGCTCGTAGCATACAGATCTGCGAGGAACGACATTCGCCGGTGCATTCTGGCTGTACCCAGCCTCTGCTGAGACGTAGCATGTATTCATCAAAGGTTGTATGATTCTTCTCGAAGACCTCGGTGACGTTGTGCCAGAATGAAGCGGTGAGCTCCGCCGTATCGTCGATTAGGGGAGGGTTCGTGAGTGGGCCATATGCCTCCTTTGCAGAATAATACTTTTCCCACACGGGACCTTGGGTCTGGTATGTAGGAGACGTCATGTCGGCGCTGTAGGTAGTTGCATCGAGGACAGCAAACGTCACAGGATCAACATCGTAGACACGAAAAGATGGCATACCCGACATGGGAGTGAGTGAGGGGCCGACATATGATGTTATTAGAGCATTGTTAAAGGTCTTTCCCGGAGCATCACTGTATGTAATCTGAAAATGATCTCTGTGGGTGTGACCAAAGAACATGGCTGCGATGGTTGCTGAGTATCGGTTCACTACCTGGTTCAGGTAATTCGACTGATCGTGAAATGCATTCCGGTCACCGAGCGGCATATGTCCAATAATATAGACACGCTCTCCAGCTTTCTCAGCAGCGTGGAGTTCTTCAACAAGCCAATCGATCTGACCGCTGGGATCGCGCAGCATCTTCCTCTGAAAAAGCCAGAAATTCCCACGGTAAAACAGATTTGTGTTGAGAGAGATAACGCGCAAGTTGCCATGGGGATACTTAGTTGAATAAGCACCGATTCTTGCTGCTGTAGAGGCTGATTCATGTCCAATCCAGCGAGACCATGTCCCTGCGAGAAGGTCGTAGATCCATGAGGATGCGTCGCCAACAGAACTAGGCTGGTAGGCATTCGTGGGATGGGACTCGTGGTTGCCAGCTGTTCCGTAGACTATACCGAGATGTCTATCCATGTGCTCATATGACCGAATAACTTGATAGGTTAGTCTTTTTAGAGTGAAGGATTTTAGTCAAGGACACTCACTTTGGTGCTCATTATAGTCCCAAGATGTGTTCCAGATTGAATGATCGATAATGTCTCCGGTAAAAATCGTGAAAGCGGCATCGGGTACCAACTTTTTGATTGCTTCATACATGCTAAGCTCAAGAGAAGCAGGAGAGTCACAAGTATGCTCCCCATATGGTCCAGCCGGAGATACCGCGCTCCCAGGCTCGTCATCTTCTGTGGAAGGTCTTCTAAAGTCAACGAGCAGTACCATAAGCTCTGGGAAAAGCGTTACTTACCTGCAGCATATTGGTTTGCCACACTCTGAATTCGACCCTTCAGTGTAGAGCTGGTCAACATGTATATCGGAATAGTGAACAACTTTGATAGGGTCTCTTCCGCTCGAGACTGGACGCTTTCGGCGCAAGTGATCAGGAGGCACAGGGACTTCCCATTCGTCTATAGCAGGATAGCGGCAGAGACCTAGAAATGTTACGCAAAAATGCTGCGAAGTCTTTGAGCCGATGGCAACGTTTCTCAACGCCTCGGCTATAATAGGCCCTTGAAGCTCGATGGTTCCATCACAAACATCTGCATCCTCGACCTTCGATTTGTTAAATATAGGTTTGCATCTTATAAGGACTTATTAGGCTACCTTTGACTTTTTGCATACGTCCTGTAGGGTGTTGACAAAGTGTCGATCACCCAGATTCGCGAGGCTCTTGAAAGTCAATAAAAGGCCCTACACCGTCATCTTCAGCCCTTTGTAATCACACTCATGGCTAGCTGTGACTTACCTGACATCCCGAACAAGACGATACACCTTGTATCTGTTTCCATACTCGATCTGCCCAGTCATTTGTGTACAAAGTCTTTTGGTTTTCATTGAGACCTTCAGGCACGACAGCCTGTCCGTCAGTTCCGATAACCGCTGCTATGACTCCGAGACAGGGTAGGAGAGTTGTTGGTAATCGCATCTTTGTCCAAGTGAAAGAAGGGGGGGAAACGGTTGATCTCAGTAATGGCGAAATAAGAGAACGAGGCATACATTGAACCTGTTTATACAACACAAGTGAGCTCTACTCCGTAGAGACTATCAACTTATTGCCATCTTAGACAAATCATCTCCCAAATGGGCATAGTGCCACCACTATAACGGCCACATGACCTAATTAGAGCAGTCACAGGAGCGCATAATGTAGGTAGACAGAGGAAAACGTCACCGCTGGTCCATGTCTAGTCTCCAACAGCCAGCCAACAACTAAAACTACTTAATTACTCCGATCTCAAATCCGCCCATCAAGGAGGTTAGCAGAGGCTTAACATATACAATAGTTGCGTGATTATTTCTTATTCATATCCATACATACGTCTATTTCGTACAGCTCCTTTCATGCCTTAAATCCAGACAAATGTAATATACAAGACCGATGATGATGAGTTATACATCTGCGCCATAGATAATGATACAAGGAGCACCTCGCTCCAATTCAAGCAGGCTTTTGAATATCCATAGCATTACACTTTTTGCAGCTGGCCTGTTCTACTCCTTTATCGGAGATGTCTTCGTCTTCTCCCTCGACTGTGCTTTCTTTTCCGAGCCCTTCTGACGCGAATGCGCCTCTTTCCGCTTGTTTGTGTTAGTCTTATTTCTTGCGTCAGCTTCCCATGCAAGCTTCACGCCTGTCTGTTCCTCCCTCTGCATGACCGAGTCTCTGTACTTCCTCCCAGCTTCTGTGCGTTCCGGTAGTGTCCCTCCCCACATTCTGTGCCACTCCCTCTCGCGATCCTCAGGGGTTGATACAAGCGCCTTCTTCCTGCGCTTCTTGAGTTCCTTCAGAATTTTATGCGCTCTGTCTGATTGAAGCTCCACGACTGTGTATTCTACTTTCCAGTTGATTGGTTCCTCATGGTCGGAGCAAGAGATACGTTCCACGACCTCGCCGTCGACCATGTTGCGGACTGTGACATACAAACCAAGAATGTCCTTCTTTGGTATGTTGTCACTTTCTTCATCGGGTCTTGCTTCTTCTGTCAGTGAGGGCTTGTCTGCTCCAGAGGTCTTGACAGATTCTGCTGGAGAAACCTCAATGGTGACTGTGTTGCTTTCATCAACCTCGCTAATCGGCTCCTTCTGGTCTCGCACCAATTCCGACAAAACTCGCTCAAATGTCCCCAGACTGTTATGGTTGTTGTCAACACCCTGAGCAAATTTGATGATTAGGTCCTTGAGAGTAGCATCTGCTGAGTCGTCGCTGTTTATTGAGATGTCAGTTCCATCGACAGCGTCGCTAAGTATGGAACTATGCCCTTCATCCTCAGCCCTAGTCTCGACAGCTTCGGTGAGGCTAGACTCTGTCTCTTTACCAGCGTATTCCACATCTTTAGAATCCACGTCATTATTGGAATTGTCGCCTTCAGAGGCCTCAATGGATTGGAGCAGTGCATCCTCAGTTTCGGAAGAGGATTCACTCGTATCCAGTGCGTCCTCTTCTGCTGAACCCTTCTGAGTTGTGTCCTCAAGTTCACTGCCTGCTTCCTTGTTGTCCTTCAACTCTTCGGTCAAAGCCTCAACAAGTTCGTTGATGTAGGTTTCTCTCTCCAGCTCGGGCTTCCCAGTCAGCAAACCACTCTGCTCAAGAGCTTGCTCGATGGCCTCTCGCACACCTTCCAAGCCGGCGGCGTCATCCTCCACAGTTTGGTCGACCTTCGCCATCATCTCATCCCACGACTTCTGTCTCTCGGTCGATGATAGCTTTTGAGTCTCTTTCTTAGTCTGGGGCTCAGCTCCGTCACTCATTCGGCTCTTCTCTTCATCCTGTGGAATACGCAACATGTTGTCTTTAAACATGGCCACGGCTTCACTCCCCTTCTCCTGGGTTTTTTGCATCTCTTCATCGCTAACAGGCTCGGCGAAGAAATAAGTCAAGGGGGGGTTCGTTGGTCGAGTCTCGATATGCAAACGAAGTGACTTTTTAGGGAAACGCTTCGTAGCTCTGTCCAAAAGATCGTTCAAGAGTTTGACACTGACTTTAAACTCCTCATTTCCCACACTGCGGTTCGAGGTTCCATGAAGAGCCTCATCCATTTCCTCGAGGCTAATATACTGGAAACCAAATATTCGTTGTGTGTTATGGAAAGCAACGAATATACCATCCATTCGGCCCATGCGCACTTGCAAAGAATACTTGAGGAACGCCGCTCTGATCATGTCGTAGTACTCACGTTCGAAAGACTCCCAAGTACCGAAACGGCTACGAATCTCATATCCAATGCCTTTTTGATAGCCCTCAACATCCATGCGGATGGAAACTACTGCACGGGTTTTCAGATCAAACATGCCTGTTCCTGGAAGTCGTGGATCATGAGCATCTAGCTGTGACCGCATCATAAAATCACCTAGCGTAGAGAAATGAAATGCTTCATCGGCATTCTTCTCCTCTTCGGATAACTCATGCGAACGGCTTCTCCTGTACTTTTCGAAATGGGGTTTGTTGAGAGTGAGAAGCTTTTCCATTGATTTCCCGAGCATGCTCAGGACGTTGGCTGTGTCGAATTCTTTATCGGCGTCAATAGCATACACACCGTCTTTATAACGGGCGAATGCGGCAGCAGGACCTCGGGTCAGCGCGGTGAACGTATCATATTCGACCTTGAAAGAGCGGGACAAGTGTCTGAAGCTTAAGGGCCTCCACGCTGAGAGAAGAAAGTGGAATTGGGAGAGCATGGCCGTCATACTAGATGTTGAGCCACAGTACTTCTTCTTATATTTGGCACACAAGTCTGTCAACCGACTGTCCTTGGAGGACGTCACATACTCTTTCAGAGCGTCGAAGTCAAACTCATCAACGGGCATGATTGAAGCAAGGTATGGGTCAAAGTTGTAAACCCGCGTCCGCTGATCTTGAAGCTGGTAGGGTCCGCCGTTGAAAAGAACCTTGTCCAGCTGATGGGCAAGCGTGGGGACGCTTCGCGTGGATTCTTCTTCAACTGCTTTCAGCTTGAGGCTTTGGGGCATAATGGTGTAAACTGGAGGCAAAGCCTTCTTCTGCTTTTTGACAGTCTTCGACCTCTTCTTCTTCGACGGTGGAGCTGCTGCACTGGGCTCTGTCTCATGACTATTTGCTATGATATGCTGATCCAGTTCGGGGGAGGGAGTGGTATAATCTTCTTGAGTGGCGGTCTGGTCTTCCGAAGGTTCTGTAGCCAGCTCTTGTTGCAACTTCTCTTTCAGTGATGCCCAGGCACCAGTCTGCTGATCAACTACTCCAGAGCTGGCGTCTGATGAGTTGGCTTTATCAGTCCTCTGTTGTTCCTTTGGACTACTTGGCTTGGATCCCTTAGTTTTCTTCTTTCTCTTCGCCTTGTCGATACCATAGACTCTCTTAGCCACAGCCAATGCATCACTGATATCGGTTTCAGTTGTCCCCTGTGTAGATCCTTTTACCTGAAGACGAGCAGCTCTTCTCTTTTTGTCCTCTTTTTTCTTTTCCGCAACTTTCGCTCCCTTTCCAATCTTTTCCGAGGTGGCCTTCTTTGAATTGAGTGCATCGTCGGAATCGGGGGCGGGTTTAGGCGTCGGAATCGAAGTGTCGTCCGGGCTAGTCTCTGTCGCAAATAACCGGGGGGAACATTGTCGCGGGCATCGTAGATGGGGCCGGCAGATATGCGCAAACGTGGCCGCGGGGGGTATTCCACGCCGTAGTCGAAGCATCGGGGCGTCTTTGACGAAGTCGATCAACTTTGGAGAAAGTTGGCCAAAATCAAGAGGGGAAAAACTTCGTAGGCGACGTTAATCCAGAAAAAAAAATATTGAATCATCAACGGCTCCGGTATAATGTCGGGTCAGACGATACGTCGTATGGCACGTGATTGGTCAATCACTACTCCGTACCTCGAGGATCCATCGCATGCACCTACCTACCTTAACCATTAGCCACAACACTTCGTCATTTCCGGAGCCCTCCTAACGTGAAAGGTTAAAAGAGGACACCCACCGCAGAGACTCTTGCGGGATCTTCTCATGCGATAGCAATGGGCGCGAGTGATTCAAAGCTCGTTTTCAAACGGGGCATTTTTCGTTTATCAGAAGAACGGCATATCCCAGCGGATGATGCATACTGGACCTCTGTTCGTCGCCTGCTCCACCCAAAGTCCTACTTTACCTTTCCATGGATAACTCGTTTACTGACATGATAACACGCAGTTTTGGGAGCTTCCCGAGTCTTCTGAGGATGTCTTTAGTTTATTTACACCTGCCGACATTCGAAGAACTCGAGATCGAGCACTCGAAAACCTAGAAACTCTCATCCTAGCCATCACTTCTCGTCTATTCATACTACGTCATCACCCATCTTTCCCTGATCCTGAACTTGCTCCAGAACGCGAGGCCCTGAACTGTATCCGAGTACTCACACGTATCTTGCCTTACTTGTATGAAAAGGAATCTCTCAGTGACTGGGAGCAACAATTTTTCTGGGCCCAACGAAGGAAACGCACCCGGCATGGTGCTATCGCCAACGAGATCATCTTTGACGAAGCTCAGGAGGCTGAGCGCAAGACGCAAACTGCCGAGTTCGAGGAGGTCAAGCCACTCGCTGAAGAGCTGGTAGACACGCTGGTAGATTTGCTATTCTTTTCTGATCTCACTTTACCACGACAACCCAATGGCCGACCGAAAGTTAGCTATGCGATTTGGCAGAGTGGGGTGGGTTGCAACACAGCCGTTGCAACCACAAAAGAATATGAAAGCAATCGATCAGAGATTCTGCGGCTTCTCCTGACGCTTTCTGGCCAGAGCCTGTACATGACTGCTGGTGTCCTGCCGCAGTTCGGCGTACGGACGTTAACACACTTATGCGCTTGCCCAGACAAGCAAGTCGTGCTCTCCGTGCTTTGTTCCCTGCTCAACACAGTCGGTCCACCTGGGGTCTCCCGGCTTCGAGGTACTGATGCTGACTTGACTTATAGACGTTGA